AAATTCCATAATACTGTTGGTTCAGCTGAATTTGACAGTTCCCAATTTAGTTAAATGTCCAAAAATATTTACAATTAATCAGCTCAGGAGGGAGTTCTGTTACACCAGCCTCATAACAAGACCTGAACCTTCCTTACTTATTATGTAGATTGCAAGCTCCGCGTAACCAGATATCACTTCCCTGACAAGTTAGGTGAACAAAGTACATCAGTGTTAAATGAGAATAGTGCATTATAATAACAATCTCTACTCAGTTTGCCGTGAAGACCCTGGCTGGCTCTGCAGCAGGATTCAGCGCTCTCCATATAAATGGAATAGGCAGCCACACACAACCCATCTTCCCAGATGTTCATTAGCAGGAGTTTGAAGTCTTTCCAAAATCAGAAATTTAACCCCTTTCCGGCTGCAGCTTATGCCCTTCACATACATACTTCTGCATAGCATTTACATATTTTTTTCAATAAAGCATCTCAGTGAAAGAATGTCATCCCTCCAAATACTAGGTAACAGTAGAGCCTTGAATGATGAAGGAGTCATGTCAAGGCTCAGGACATTTAGCAACAACATTGGTAATTACATGCTTGGCATTACATATCACCTGTGCATTAATGGAATGAAACATTTCCCTATTTCTAAATATAGAGCCAAGCCTTAATGGAGGAACTAATGCCATATGTATGCAATCTACCCTCCTCAGAATGTTAGGGAAGTGTGCAATATTAGAACACTGTCACAATGAGAGGGTCGCTGGGAAATTTCATAAACAAGCTAACCATCTGTGCACATTTTTAACCTATTCTTGTAGTATCTGACAAAGATGTGTCTGGAAAGAAACTTTAGCATCACATTAGCAAATACCTGCTCAGAGGCACAGAGGTATTGTGAGTCTGGGGAGCAAAGCAATTTATTGACTAGGCATGCGTTGTTTATCCACACCAATACTGCAGTCAGGTATGCTAATTGTACAGAATGCAATGAGTTACTTCTCTGTTACACACTGTAATTGCAAGGTATTGATCTTCACTTTTCATTCCACTACAGTAAGCAGATCAGAATTATACTGATCTTGGCAAAGCTTCTACAGAGGTAAACATGAGCTTGTTTCCAAAAAAAAATTTTTTTCTATAAATTTCTTTGGTTACAGCTAGAACACATAATCCAGAGCCAAGAATTATGAGAGGCAGGTGTCTTGAACTCCACCTTTCAAAGGGCCTGATTTTCTAAAGTTGAACGTTTCCTTGATCCTCAGCAAAGCTGCAAAAAAAAGCCATTACAATATCTTTGCAATATGAATGTGTGACTGTTTGACTATGAATGTACATGTTCAGGGCTATGCACCAAAGCTCCAGCACACATCATATCAGTCATATCAGTCTCATTTCAAGATACAGTTCTGAGCCTGCAAAATCCCATTTTTTGTAATGTACACTTTTATTGAAATCCAGCCACAGAGCTGCACAACAGCCTTTCTTAACCACGGTGGCCAGGCACCCTGGGGTGCCTTCAGGTTTCTTCAGGGGTGCCTTGGCAAAATGTCTAAAAATTGCCCAAAACTTGTATAAAAGCCAGCAGTGGCCAAGCCTGCCTTTTAGTTACACAGGTTTTCATTGTGCACCACTACGACCTTCTAACTGCCGGAGTCCTGACAACCAATGACATCATCAGCTGATAAGGAGGATGTCAGCTGCCTGCACAGCATCCTAGTGTAACCCTCCCCTGCCCCTCTACATCAGTGCTGGGGTCACATTGCCTCAGTGATGGAGAAAAACTGAGGGAGAAGAGAAACACTGGAATACTAGTCAGTACCAGTGTGCAAAAGTGTATTTGCTTTGGAAGAAGAAATCACCTCTAATTTTGGGTGTCCAACATGTGTGAATGTTGCTGCGTTATATAAAAACTATTAGAATAGTTTTACACATTTTAGAATGGGGTGTCCTTTTAAAATTATGGACAGTCTTGAGGCACCCTATTTTAGAATGGGATGCCTCAAGACTGTCCATAATTTTAAAGGGTGCCTTTGAGAAACACTGCTGTACAATACAGAATAATAACAAAGACAACCAACGGTCCCATACAACTCAGCCCCCCAGATATGACCAGTACCACTAAATTTAAAAATCCAAAGTGCAAGTATACAATGAACTATAAGCCAGTCAGAGGGTAGTGCAGTGCAGTGTCCACAGCATCATATGAGGCGTAGCCACACAAAGTATTTGTCACCCACCAATTACCGTATTTTTCGCTTCATAAGACGCACTTTTTCCCCCCAAAAAAGGGGGGAAAATGTCAGTGCATCTTATGGAGCAAATGTAAAGCGGCCGGTCCGGTATTTCTCCTGACACCATGTCAGAATATCTGGTCATCTCCTGTACTATGTCTGCAGTCTCTGGTCATCTCCTGTACTATGTCCGCAGGGATGTTTACATTCCTTGTAATAGGAATAAAAGTGATTTTAAAAAAGGGACAGTGTAAAAATAAAAAATAAAATAAATAAGAAAAACAATAATTAAAAGTGCCCCCATCCCTCTGTGCTCGTGTGCAGAAGCGAACACTTACGAAAGTCATGCACGCATATGTAAATGTTGTTCGCAGCACACATGTGAGGTATTGCCATGAATGTTAGAGCGAGAGCAATCATTCTAGGGCTATACCTCCTCTGTAACTCTAAACAGGTAACTTGTAAAAAAAAATTTTTTTCGTATGCGCAATTTTAAAGCTAGTGAAACTGAGTACACAGATGACCTCAATGGTCTGTTTCTTCTCCTTAATTTGTCCAATCTGTAGGCTGGGGAATGGGACAACACTTTATTCCGTGTAACAGAGAAAATGCAGTCATTCTTCTGTTTGAGCTATTGGCAGGGTTGTGTAAATATCAGAAGCGAATAGGCAGAACTACAAATTATTTCACAGGTAAAAACAGCTCCCTTATATGTATTTTGTCTGTGCATTTAGCTGTTTGCCTGGAGTTCAACTTTAAAAACTATGTTTAACCACCTCCTGCCCGCCATATAAGGAAATGACGGGTGCAAGTTGGTTCTCTCGTTCTGGGAGGATGTCATATGACGTCCTCCTACTCTAAACGCGCGTGCGCGCCCCCGGGGGCACAGTGATCGGTGGTACGCTGTATCCCTGGGAAAGCCGAAGAAGTTGGCTCTGTCATGTGATCAGCTGTGTCCAATTACAGCTGATCGCATGTACAGTTTGTGGCCAAAATTATTCAACCCCCAATGCTGTAAAGGGGTTTAGGGACTATAGTGTACATTTGGAATTGTATTCAGAATCAAATCCTACAAGGACGTTGTAACTACCCAAATGCAACTAAAATGACATCAATTGTTTATGTAATACAGTAGTAAATGGTTCTTATGTGGTTTCTTCATTGCCCACAATTATTCAACCCCTTAAAGACTACCACTCTGAAGAACAGAGGTTCATACAGGTGCTTTCCATCAGGTATTGAAAACACCTGTGGATGTCACCGAGCAGCAATCAAGCATAATAAGCACCAATTAGGCAGCTTTAAAATGACTGTGATACTCAGCTCCTTCTAGACATTTACTGGTGTGGTTACAAACATGGTGAAGGCAAGAGAATGGTCCAGGAAGACAAGAGAAGAGGTGATTTCTCTTCACAGGAAGGGCAATGGCTATAAGAAAGATTGCAAAGATGTTAAACATACCAAGAGACACCTTAGGAAGCATCATTCGCAAATTCAAGGCAAAGGGCACTGTTGAAACGCTACCTGGTCGTGGCAGAAAGAAGATGCTGACTTCGACTGCTGTGCGCTACCTGAAGCGTAGAGTGGAGAGAAGTCCCCGTGTGACTGCTGAGGAACTGAGAAAAGATTTGTCAGATGTGGGTACAGAAGTTTCAGCCCAGACAATAAGACGCACACTGCGTAATGAAGGCCTCCGTGCCAGAACTCCCAGGCGTACCCCCTTGCTGTCTCCAAAGAATAAGAAGAGTCGACTGCAGTATGCCAAAAGCCATGTGGACAAACCACAAAAGTTGTGGGATAGTGTTCTGTGGACTGATGAAACAAAATTAGAACTGTTTTGGGCCCATGGATCAACGCTATGTTTGGAGGAGGAAGAACAAGGCCTATGATGAAAAGAACACCTTGCCTACTGTGAAGCATGGTGGAGGGTCAATCATGCTTTGGGGCTGTTTTGCTTCTGCAGGTACAGGGAAGCTTCAGCGTGTGCAAGGTAACCATGAATTCTCTTCAGTACCAGGAGATATTGGATGGAAACGTGATGCAGTCCGTCACACACCTGAGGCTTGGGAGACGTTGGACCTTTCAAACAGGACAATGATCCCAAGCATACCTCCAAGGTCCACTAGAGCATGGTTGCAGAGGAAAGGCTGGAACATTTTGGAGTGGCCATCGCAGTCACCAGACTTAAATCCGATTGAGAACCTCTGGTGGGACTTAAAGAAAGCAGTTGCAGTGCGCAAGCCTAAGAATGTGACTGAACTGGAGGCCTTTGCCCATGAAGAATGGGCGAAGATACCCGTAGATCGCTGCAAGACACTTGTGTCAAGCTATGCTTCACGTTTAAAAGCTGTTATAACTGTAAAAGGATGCTGTACTAAGTACTAAGATTGAATGTCACTTGGGGGTTGAATAAAACTGATAATGCTGTGAGCACAGAAAAGACATTTGTGGTTATTTCATTATAACTGTTATGTTATATTTGTCTGACCTACAAGTGCCTCTTTAATGTAAATGTAAGCAAGATGACTGAATGATCAAAAGCAATGTCAAACTGGCCAAAACACTCAATTTCAGTGGGGGTTGAATAATTTTGGCCACAACTGTAAATAGGGAAATGACGGTTATCAGCATTTCTCTCCTCACGAGCTGTCACACTGACAGCTCGAGAGGAGAGGAGAGACGGTAATTGGCATTCCTCAGAAGGGACATGTACACTGATCATCAGGGCACTGATGATCAGTGTGCCCTGATGATCAGTGTAGCCCCAGCAGTGTCACTTGTCAGTGCCCATCAATGCCACCTGTCAGGGCCCATCAATACCACCTGCCAGTGCCCATCAGTGCCACATCAATGCCACATATCAGTGCCTACCAGTGCACATCAATGCCACATATCTGAGCTGCCTTTCAGTGCCACCTATCAGTGTCAGTCAGTGCCACCTATCAATGCCAGTCGGTGCCGCCTATCAGTGCTGCCAATCAGTGCCACCTATCAGTGCAAGTCAGTGCCGCCTATCAGTGCTGTCAGTGCTGCCTATCAGTGCCGCCTAACAGTGCCAGTCAGTGTCACCTAAAGTGCCGCCACCTACCAGTGCCTCCTCATCAGTGCCCATCAGTGCCACCTATTAGTGCCCATCAGTGCAGCCTATCAGTGCCCATCACTGCAGCCTCATTAGTGCACATCAGTGAAGGAGAAAAAATCACTTATTTACAAAATTTAATAACAGAAACTAAGAAAAAAACGTTTTGTTTTTTTCAGTTGTTTTTGGTTTGTTTAGCAACAAATAAAAAACCCAGAGGTGATTAAATACCACCAAAAGAAAGCTCTATCTAAAAAAAATTATAACAATTCCATATGGGTACAGTGTTGCATGACCGAGCAATTGTCATTCAAAGTGCAACAGCGCTGAAAGCTGAAAATTGGCCTGGACAGGAAGGGGGTATAAGTGCCCTGTAGGCAAGTTGTTAAAAATGTTTTTAATGTATCAGTTTTTTTAGGTTTAGTAGAATAGGATAAATAAAATATACATATACCAGCATCTTAGATTTAATTTGTATTTGTCTCTACAGCTATTCTAATAAAAGAGCATTTTATAAATCTTCAATTAATTTGACAGAACCTTTTGACCTAAAAAGTTAGTTATATTTTCAGTTCTACATATTATTATGTCTGCAGTTCCTCTATGACACTAAAAATATACTAATAAGATCTGGGAATAATATATTCAATGTATATTCCATTCCATATTTTACCTTTCTGTCAATATTTTATAAACTGTTAAAATATATATATGCTCATTAATATTCATGAAATCGTACTTTCTGTGCATAAATGCTCATGGGAACCTGTTCTTAGAAGGCTAACCCCCATAATGTAGTTAATGCTCATGTGTCCACCCCCAGCTTCACACATGCTCCAGCCTGCCTGTATGCAGCAACACTCATTCTTGTAAAGGTTGCTGTTCTTCACAAATAGACAACTTTTCTTTACAAAATCTACTTGAAAAAATGGGTGCTGGTCAGTGTGAATGGTGAATCAAGAGGCCGAACTAGGCGAAGTGGAATTCGTTTCGAATATTAGGAAAATTTCGATTCGCGCCGAATCCGAAAATAAGCAGACTTCGGATGCGCGAATCGAAATTTTTCCTAAAATGGCGGCGACATGTGCGGCGACGGAGCGGGGATGTCTGGGAAGGCGCGCAGACAAGGCGCGCTGACCCATAATGCATTCATTCATGACATGTGATCGCATTAGCCAATCAGCAGCCAGCCAGGCAGCACTGTGTAATGGTCGAGCTATAAATGGCGGCCATTTTAGAATTCTCCATTTGCCTCCAGTCATTCAACAGAGGCAGACCTGGCTGTATTCAGGAAGAGAGATAGGGACACAGAAACGTTACTTAGGGACACAGAAACGTTAGTTAGGGACACAGAAACGTTACTTAGGGACACAGAAACGTTAGTTAGGGACACAGAAACGTTACTTAGGGCGACAGAAACGTTTACTTAGGGACACAGAAACGTTACTTAGGGCCACAGAAACTTTACTTAGGGACACAGAAACGTTACTTAGGGACACAGAAACGTTACTTAGGGCCACAGAAACGTTACTTAGGGCCACAGAAACGTTACTTAGGGCCACAGAATCGTTACTTAGGGCCACAGAATCGTTACTTAGGGCCACAGAAACGTTACTTAGGGCCACAGAAACGTTACTAGGGCCACAGAAACGTTACTTAGGGACAGACTTAGGGACACAGAAATGTTACTGAGGGACACAGAATTGTTACTGAGGGCCACAGAACTGTTACTTAGGGCCACAGAAACGTTACTTAGGGACACAGAATTGTTACTCAGGGACAGACACAGAATTGTTACTTAGGGACAGACACAGAATTGTTACTGAGGGACACAGAATCGTTACTTAGGGCCACAGAAACGTTACTTAGGGCCACAGAAACGTTACTTAGGGCCACAGAATTGTTACTTAGGGACAGACACAGAATTGTTACTGAGGGACACAGATTTGTTACTGAGGGCCACAGAACCGTTACTTAGGGCCACAGAAACGTTACTTAGGGACACAGAATTGTTACTCAGGGACAGACACAGAATTGTTACTTAGAGGGACACAGAATTGTTACTGAGGGCCACAGAACTGTTACTTAGGGGGCCACAGAAACGTTACTTAGGGCCACAGAAACGTTACTTAGGGCCAAAGAATTGTTACTTAGGGACAGACACAGAATTGTTACTGAGGGACACAGATTTGTTACTGAGGGCCACAGAACCATTACTTAGGGCCACAGAAACGTTACTTAGGGACACAGAATTGTTACTCAGGGACAGACACAGAATTGTTACTGAGGGACACAGAATTGTTACTGAGGGCCACAGAACTGTTACTTAGGGCCACAGAAACGTTACTTAGGGCCACAGAAATCGTTACTTAGGGCCACAGAAACGTTACTTAGGGCCACAGAATTGTTACTTAGGGACAGACACAGAATTGTTACTGAGGGACACAGATTGTTACTGAGGGCCACAGAACCGTTACTTAGGGCCACAGAAACGTTACTTAGGGACACAGAATTGTTACTCAGGGACAGACACAGAATTGTTACTGAGGGACACAGAATTGTTACTCAGGGACACAGAATTGTTACTGAGGGATACAGAATTGTTACTGAGGGACACAGAACGTTACTTAGGGCCACAGAAACGTTACTTAGGGCTACAGAAACGTTACTTAGGGCCACAGAATCGTTACTTAGGGCACAGAAACGTTACTTAGTGGCCACAGAATTGTTACTTAGGGACAGACACAGAATTGTTACTGAGGGACACAGAATTTGTTACTGAGGGCCACAGAACCGTTACTTAGGGCCACAGAAACGTTACTTAGGGACACAGAATTGTTACTCAGGGACAGACACAGAATTGTTACTGAGGGACACAGAATTGTTACTGAGGGACACAGAATTGTTACTTAGGGGACACAGAATTGTTACTGAGGGACACAGAATTGTTACTGAGGGACACAGAATTGTTACTTAGGGACACAGAATTGTTACTCAGGGACAGACACAGAATTGTTACTCAGGGACAGACACAGAATTGTTACTGAGGGACACAGAATTGTTACTGAGGGACACAGAATTGTTACTCTCAGGGACAGACACAGAATTGTTACTCAGGGACACAGAATTGTTACTGAGGGACACAGAATTGTTACTGAGGGACACAGAATTGTTACACAGGGACAAGAATTGTTACTCAGGACAGACACAGAATTGTTACTCAGGGACAGACACAGAATTGTTACTGAGGGACACAGAATTGTTACTGAGGGACACAGAATTGTTACTCAGGGACACAGAATTGTTACTCAGGGACAGACACAGAATTGTTACTCAGGGACAGACACAGAATTGATACTGAGGGACACAGAATTGTTACTGAGGGACACAGAATTGTTACTGAGGGACAGAAGAATTGTTACTCAGGACAGACACAGAATTGTTACTCAGGGACAGACACAGAATTGTTACTGAGGGACACAGAATTGTTACTCAGGGACACAGAATTGTTACTGAGGGACACAGAATTGTTACTGAGGGACACAGAATTGTTACTGAGGGACACAGAATTGTTACTCAGGGACACAGAATTGTTACTCAGGGACACAGAATTGTTACTGAGGGACACACAGAATTGTTACTGAGGGACACAGAACAGAATTGTTACTCAGGGACAGACAGAATTGTTACTCAGGGACACAGAATTGTTACTCAGGGACAGACACAGAATTGTTACTGAGGGACACAGAATTGTTACTGAGGGACACAGAATTGTTACTGAGGGACACAGAATTTGTTACTGAGGGACACAGAAATTGTTACTCAGGGACACAGAATTGTTACTCAGGGACACTTAGGGACACAGAATTGTTACTCAGGGGACAGACACAGAATTGTTACTGAGGGACACAGAATTGTTACTGAGGGACACAGAATTGTTACTGAGGGGACACAGAATTGTTACTCAGGGACACAGAATTGTTACTGAGGGACACAGAATTGTTACTGAGGGACACAGAATTGTTACTGAGGGACACAGAATTGTTACTGAGGGACACAGAATTGTTACTGAGGGACACAGAATTGTTACTGAGGGACACAGAATTGTTACTCAGCGACAGGGACACAGAATTGTTACTCAGGGACAGACACAGAATTGTTACTGAGGGACACAGAATTGTTACTGAGGGACACAGAATTGTTACTGAGGGACATTGTTACTGAGGGACACAGAATTGTTACTCAGGGACACAGAATTGTTACTCAGGGACAGACACAGAATTGTTACTCAGGGACACAGAATCGTTTAATTAAAGAGTATGTCAGACAACATGCAGAGAGGAGTGGCAGAGGAGGCAATGTTTTAGGAGCGAGCAGACGTGGCAGCAGAGGAAGGGGTCGAGGCAGCACTAGTCGCAGCCAGAGGCCAGTGCTCCCGGTGTCATCCAGCGGTCGTGTCTCCACCGACAACCCTGCCGTCATCGATTGGTTGGCTCGGTCGTCTCTTCCTCTTCCCAGGTCACCTCTGACACCTACAGCCAACGGTCGGTGGGTACGTCAGACACAACCGTTAGTTGGCATGGCCCGGGAGCAAGCCCACTGAAATCACGTGTCCTCTACCTGCCCCTGTCCTTTGGTGTTCCCTCACCAAGCGAAGTATCGCATGCTGTGGGCTCAGCCCCACTGTACAGTGAGGAAGAGCTAACAGAGGGCGGTCAGGAACGGGGGGAGACATCCGCCTCTTCAGCAGCCAGGCGAAGAAGTAGTGGCGAGGAGAGTGGCTCGGTAGCCGGTCTAGAGACAGGTCTGTCTCCTGACCCACACGCAGCCGAGGGGGCTAGTAGTGAGGCGGAGACCCTAATTGATGATGATGAGGCTGATCGCACTTGGCAGCCTCGTCGTCATCAGGCTATTGCTTCCGCATCATCAGGAGAGAGGGTGGCAGCTTGGCAGCGAGCAAAACAGTCGGTGGGTTGCCCAGGAGGCAGCAGGGTCGCAGCAGTGTCAGTGGAGGCAAACGGCCACGGAGTACAGCACCAGCTCCACTGCAGCCTACCACCACGGCCAGTAGTGGTGCCGGTGTGCACGGAGGAAGCAGCAGTCAGCCAGTGAGGAGTATCGGGGGCAAAGTTTCCTACTCGGCGGTGTGGCAATTTTTTGTCAAGCCGCCCGAGGAAGTAAACGTAGCCGTATGTCGACTATGTGGCCAGAAAGTCAAGCGTGGCCAGGGGGGCCATGTTGGGACTACAGCGTTGCGTCAGCATATGCAGCGTCGCCATTTGGTGGCTGGGAAAAACCGTGATAAAGATACGGGCGGTTCTGCCTGCCCCAGCCCCCGCTCTCCATCACCCGCTCCGTTACTTGCTCCGTCACCCGACGTCAATCGCCCTCTATCAGCCAGTCAAGGCTCCAACACCTCTGCTGAGGGGAGTTGTCGCTCGTTGGCATCTTCCGCTCGTTCTGATGCTCCTTCTCCTGCTACTCCTCTTCACGGATTCCGTCAGCAGTCTTTCTTGGAATCCGTTTCCAAGAGACAACAGTTTGCGAGCACACCCGACGGTGCAAAAGCTGAACGTCCTCCTGTCCAAGTTGCTGGTGCTGCAGTCCCTCCCTTTCCAAGTGGTGGACTCAGCACCTTTCCGAGAAATGATGGCTTGTGCCGCGCCGCGGTGGAGAGTGCCAAGCCGTCATTTCTTCGCCAAAAAGGCAGTGCCAGCCCTGCATTCACATGTAGAAGAGATGGTGGGCCAGTCTTTGAGCATGTCGGTCTCTGCCAAAGTGCACGGCAGCGCCGACGTGTGGAGCTGTAACTACGGTCAGGGACAGTACATGTCATACGGCCCACTGGGTGAACGTGGTGCCGTCACAGCCGCACCAGCAACTTGGACAGGTCACGCCGCTTTTGCCTCCACGTTTGCACGTCCTTGGTCCGGCAAAGATGTCCGCCTCTACCACCTCTTCTCTTCCGCCGTGTCCTCAGCCCGCCACCCCCCCCGTGCCAAGTCCCATTACCCCGACCGGCATATCACATGTGCAGGGTGCAACGGTGTCACGCTGTGCTGCACCTGGTATGCCTTGGCGAACGTAGTCACACAGGGGAGGAACTTCTCAGTGTAATGAACAGAGAAATCGACAGATGGCTGTCTCCGCGCAAACTGAAAATCGGAACCATGTTGACCGACAACGGAAAGAACATGGTGTCTGCTCTGCGTCAAGGAAGGTTGTGCCATGCGCCATGCATGGCTCACGTGTTCAATCTGGTTGTCAAGCGGTTCCTAAAATCCACCATCCCACTGCAAGACATCCTTAAAATGTCACGTAAACTTTGCATGCATTTCAGCCATTCCTACACCGCAAAGCACACCCTCCTTGAGCTGCAGCGGCAGAACGGAATTCCACAGCATCGCGCCTGATCTGCGACGTTGCAACAAGGTGGAATTCAACCCTACACATGTTAGACCGCCTTTACGAACAGCGAAAGGCCATCACCGACCGATTTCCTGATGTTACAAGCGGATAAAGGTACTCCCCCTGTGTAACTTCGATGTCAGCCATTGGCAGCTCATGCGTGACACCTGCCGCTTGCTCAGGCCCCTTTGAGGAGGCCACGCTATTCGTGAGTCGGCAGGACTATGGGATGAACGACGTCATTCCTCTGTTGCACGTCCTGGAACAAATGCTGTTAACAATGGCTGGTCAGGGTGCGGTAGACGTGGCGCACAGATCTCAACGCCACATGACCCCTGTGGGGGCAGGACAGGAAGAAGAGGAGGAGGTAGAGGAGGACATTTGTGCTCAGGAATTATTATTGAGTGAAATGGGTGGTTTTTCCACTCAGCGGACAGGAGTGGAGGAGCAGGAGCATCTGGTAGAGGAGGAGGAGGAGGAGACAGAGGACCCAGACGCACCGTGGCAGTATGCTGTGGAGATGGAGGCAGGGTCCCTCGCATTCCTTGGCACAAATGGCCCATAGCATGCTCGGTTGCTGCTTGCGTAGCGACAGCCGAATAATAACCATCAGACAGAGGGATGACTTTTGGCTGTCCACCTTGTTGGACCCTCGCTACCGTTCAAAAATGGTGGCCTTTTTCACACCTGCTGAGAGGGAGGCCAAAATAAACGTACTATAAAAACCACCTATGTAGTCAGTTGGTCTCTGCCTTTCTGCGCCAACGTCCATCCTCAGACACTGTGGGCCCTGTGCGCTCGCGTTCCGCTGCCATGGCAGCAGGGGAGGGGTGGGGTGGTAGGAGCAGTGGCAGCTCCACCAGCAGCGGCTGCCTCAGTCTGTCGATGATGAGTAGCTTTCTTCACCAGCGCAGTGAGGAAACTACTAACCAGCCGCCGCAGCAGCAGCAGCAGCATCAGGTGGACCTGGAGCAGGACCTCAAACAACAGGCTTGGGCCTACTTGGACAGCACCCTGCCAACCGAGGTAGACAATCCCCTTGACTACTGGGCAACGAAACTTGACCTTTGGCCCCAACTAGCTGAATTTGCCCTTGAAAGGCTGTCATGCCCGGCCAGTAGCGTGGCATCGGAGCGCGTGTTTAGTGCGGCAGGAGGTATTGTAACTCCGCGGAGGACACGACTGTCCACCCAAAGTGTGGAGAGACTCACGTTTGTGAAAATGAATCAGGCGTGGATTAGTCTGGATTTCAAAACCACCAGTTCCTGACACACAACTGACTAAATCCGCCATGAATCATGCCCCAAACATGTGCCACTTTCAGGTCTCCTCACACTGCTGGTGTGTTCCATTTTTTTCTAGGGTGCTGGCAGATTACGGGCCTCCCATAGCTGCTGCCAGGCCCCTAATCTGCCATGGGCCCCTATACCGCCTCCTCATGCTGCTGCCAGGTCCAGAGTCTCTCATGGGTCCCTGTACGGCCTCCCATTGCTGCTGTCTCCATCGCCACACTCTGCCATGTGCCACTTTCAGGTCTCCTCACACTGCTGGTGTGTTCCATTTTTTGTCAAAGGGTGCTGGCAGATTACGGGCCTCCCATAGCTGCTGCCAGGCCCCTAATCTGCCATGGGCCCCTATATACCGCCTCCTCATGCTGCTGCCCAGGTCCAGAGTCTCTCATGGGTCCCTGTACGGCCTCCCATTGCTGCTGTCTCCATCGCCACACTCTGCCATGTGCCACTTTCAGGTCTCCTCACACACTGCTGGTGTGTTCCATTTTTTGTCATAGGGTGCTGGCAGATTACGGGCCTCCCATAGCTGCTGCTGCCAGGCCCCTAATCTGCCATGGGCCCCTGTAATCTGCCATGGGCCCCTATACCGCCTCCTCATGCTGCTGCCAGGTCCAGAGTCTCTCATGGGTCCCTGTACGGCCTCCCATTGCTGCTGTCTCCATCGCCACACACTGCCATGTGCCACTTTCAGGTCTCCTCACACTGCTGGTGTGTTCCATTTTTTGTCATAGGGTGCTGGCAGATTACGGGCCTCCCATAGCTGCTGCCAGGCCCCTAATCTGCCATGGGCCCCTATACCCGCCTCCTCATGCTGCTGCCAGGTCCAGAGTCTCTCATGGGTCCCTGTACGGCCTCCCATTGCTGCTGTCTCCATCGCCACACTCTGCCATGTGCCACTTTCAGGTCTCCTCACACTGCTGCTGTGTTTCCATTTTTTGTCATAGGGTGCTGGCAGATTACGGGCTCCCATAGCTGCTGCCAGGCCCCTAATCTGCCATGGGCCCCCCCTGTACCGCCTCCTCATGCTGCTGCCAGGTCCAGAGTCTCTCATGGGTCCCTGTACGGCCTCCCATTGCTGCTGTCTCCATCGCCACACTCTGCCATGTGCCACTTTCAGGTCTCCTCACACTGCTGGTGTGTTCCATTTTTTGTCATAGGGTGCTGGCAGATTACGGGCCTCCCATAGCTGCTGCCAGGCCCCTAATCTGCCATGGGCCCCTGTACCGCCTCCTCATGCTGCTGCCAGGTCCAGAGTCTCTCATGGGTCCCTGTACGGCCTCCCATTGCTGCTGTCTCCATCGCCACACTCTGCCATGTGCCACTTTCAGGTCTCCTCACACACTGCTGGTGTGTTCCCATTTTTTGTCATAGGGTGCTGGCAGATTACGGGCCTCCCATACTGCTGCTGCCAGGCCCGTAATCTGCCATGGGCCCCCGTACCGACTACTCATGCTGCTGCCAGGCCCGTAATCTGTCATGGGCCCCTGTTGTCGCTTGTTGGCATATTCCGCTCGTTCAGATGCTCCTTCTCCTGCTACTCCTCTCTCACGGATTCCGTCAGCAGTCTTTCTTGGAATCCGTTTCCAAGAGACAACAGTTTGCGAGCACGCACCCGACGGTGCAGAAGCTGAAACGTCCTCCTGTCCAAGTTGCTGCTGCCAGGCTCGTAATCTGTCATGCGCCCCTGTACCGCCTCCTCATGCTGCTGCCAGGTCCAGAGTGTGTCATGGGCCCCCGTACCGACTCCTCATGCTGCTGCCAGGCCCGTAATCTGTCATGGGCCCCTGTACCGCCTCCTCATGCTGCTGCCAGGTCCAGAGTGTGTCATGGGTCCCTGTACGGCCTCCCATTGCTGCTGCCAGGCCCGTAATCTGCCATGGGCCCCCGTACCGACTCCTCATGCTGCTGCCAGGCCCGTAATCTGTCATGGGCCCCTGTACCACCTCCTCATGCTGCTGCCAGGTCCAGAGTGTGTCATGGGTCCCTGTACGGCCTCCCATTGCTGCTGTCTCCATCGCCACACTCTGCCATGTGCCACTTTCAGGTCTCCTCACACTGCTGGTGGTTTCCATTTTTGTCATAGGGTGCTGTATGGCCTCCCATTGCTGCTGCCTCCACCGCCACACTGTGGCTCCACACTCTGGTTTTGGCCCCGTGACTGCCCAAATGAGTGAAGTGTGCGGTGATTCTAAGATCGACGGCACTCATCTACTCATCTGCATGTCATACTGACTGTCAGTATTATTTCTCTTCCCCAGCAGACTCCAAGGGCATTTAAATTAAAGGTACAGTGTTCTGCACTAATATAAAGGCTCTCTGAAGCCTAGAAACACCCTTTTATAAGTTAAATTTGCAGCGAATATATTCGACTCGAATCAAAATTTTTTCACGAATTCGCCGAATCGTCGAATCGAATTTTTGAATAATTCGCTCATCTCTAGTCCTAAGTAATACGTAAGGGAAAAATATATCTACATCCATTTTTCAAATATTGTTTTGAATATTATTACTAATATAATATAAAGGTCAAAATTTCAATATATGTTTTTAATATATTTCTATGAGCACTATTCATAAGGCCCTCTGCTGGAAAATCTGCAAAATGGGTTATTGTTCTTTTTTTATGCATAACCTGAGCTCTTGTATCAGCAACATTCAGGGACAATTACTGGTGCTAATGTATACAATGACCTCACTCATATTTGCTAATAATTGGCACTTAATGTTAATAAATCCAGTCCAAAGCTTCTCTGCGCTTTTATTACGTAAACCCCCAAAAGGAAATGATTCATGCCCATGCTATAGCTTCACTGCTGTCTAAAGAACATGTATATACTATATATATATATATATATATATATATAAAAAAAAAAATATATATATATATATATATATATAAAAAGATGTTCAATAACAGGTAATGGACCTGAATTACTAAGATGCATATGCAATATAGATATCTCTGTTATATTTATAGAAACTGAGCGTCATATGAGCTTGTGCATGAAGTACATCAGAGGATACTGAAGCGGGGATTTCAGAATCAAAGTATTTTACTATTTTACTGAAGAAACTGCTATTTTTCCTTGTGTGATAAAGCTTAACTTCCAATTTTGCTGGACAAGATGGTTTTGGAAAATAAGCTGAAAAAACAGATTTACTGGCGGGATCAAGAGGTAATGAAAACTATGTTATGGGGGATTCAGGAAAAAAAGACTGCTGTGTTACCCCTAAAATTAAGAATCCATGTATGTGTTTGGTTATTCACATAATGCTTAGTAAGTGTTGCTTCTAACAATGCACGGTGTTCCTGTGTCTCCTGTAGTCAGTTTTGCACATCTATTCTGCTCTTTTGATTGCCAACAAGCAGTTGCCCTCATCAAACATGACACAGGCCTTCTGCTTTCCACAATGCATCAGCTAGCCAGAGGGCCATAAATATCCCACATCACACACAGATGGGGAACACCTCCTCTCTACATGTGATGTAACACACAGTCCATATGCATAATAATCAGATATGTCCCCCCATATGAGTAAGATGGACTTGTATGAGGCTGTGTGGTCACATGACCATGGAATAAAACTTAATAAAAAATCTTAATGCATCTGGATTCAAAAGATACTATGTGCTGTAAAACAATGTGGTTTATTGTATGGTGTTCAGAAATACTTTAATTTTATTGACAGACTGCATCATAAATGTCCATTATTATTTTGCCCAAAGTTCCACTTTAAGCAAATACCAACAATGAGAAAATCTTTATTTGCATATGTGGCTTCTGAAGGAACAGAACCTGAAATAGAAGGCATCTACTGACAGCTTACATTATTAGCTGTTTACTAACACTGTTACTTAAAGCCCAACTCCAAGTTGAGCAACCCACATGGATCAACCCTCTCTCCCCTCCACTTTATTAAATTTTTTGTAAACATGTCTTTTTCCTTCTTCTTTGTCTTCTTGCAGGTCATGTGACATCCTCTCTCTAAACAAGGTTGTAGTAATGTGAGCACCATTCTCTGCAACATTTTCCAAGCATGGTGGCACACTCCCAAGGTGTATGTCTATGGCAGCCTATACTCACATAAGTGGGTTGAATGATGATGGCTGTCTAGTCGATACGGCCAGAAGAGCAAGGAACAGTGCCAGGGAGGAGGTGAGTACGAAAGCTGCTTTTTTATTTTCACAAGTGCTGGGAAAAGTAATTTTTTTACATTTTTCAAAGCTGGAGTTTCTCTTTGTTCTTACAAGTGCATGAGCTCACTTTACATAACTGCTCTATTTATGGTTTTTAAACGAAAGTGAGAAGGAATTTCATTTTATACACTAAAAGTAATGACTAGTTTCAATATAAAAACACGGTAGTGATAATGGTAGCAGCATAAAGAGCAAGTAATGAGAAAAAAAAAATAGTAAAACTACTACTTCAACAATAATTGAGACAGTAGAAATTCTATTAGAGATATTAGTAATGGGCATTCACTTTCAATCCTTAATTTAGAACCAAATTAAAGAAACAATAGTCTTAAAAAGCATAGACATAATTGCAATATTACAATGTAGTGGTATTAATTAGAAAAAGTAGTAAAGGTAAAAAATAAGCCAGTATTAGTACTAAAAGACATACTGTAAAAGTAATTAGTCATTAAAATAGGAGCAATAGGATCAATGGTAACAGTATGAGGAAAGTACTGCCAATAACTGACAATTGTCAGAAAACAGATAGGCACTGATGATCAGTGCTCAGCAGTGCTACCCACTTGTGCCCAGCAGTGCCACCCACAAGTGCCAAGCAGTGCCACCCACCTGTGCCCATCAGTGCCTAGCAGTGCCACCCACCAGTGCCCCCCAGCAGTGCCGCCAGTAAGTGTCACCCATCAGTGCCACCTATCAGTGCCCATAATTGCTGCATTTCAGTGCAGTATCATCAGTGCCGCCTATCAATGCCGCCTAACAGCGCCGCCTATCAGTGCCCATCAGTGCTGCCTATCTGTGCCACCTCATCAGTGCCACCTATCAGTGCCAATCAGTACTGCCTATCAGTGCCCATCAGTGCTGCCTATCAGTTCAGCCTCATCAATGCACATCAGCGAAGGAGAAAAATTACCTGTTTGCAAAATTTTATAATAGAAACAAAGAAAAACTTTTTTTTTCTCACAATTTTTGCTCTTTTTTTTGTTTATAGTGCATAAAATAAAACACACAGTGGCGATTAAATACCACCAAAGGAAAGCTCTATTTATGTGAAAAAAATTATACAAATTTCAGTGTTGCCTGATCGTGCAATTGTCATTCAAAGTGCAACAGTGCTGAAAGCTGAAAATTGCCCTGGGCAGGAAGGGGGTGAATGTACCCAGTAGGCAAGTGGTTAATTTGTGAGAAACTACTTGGAAAAACACTCCTCTAGTATTTCTAGCCGAAGCCATCCTGAGTAAAATAGATAATTCAAATAACATTTACTTCCTGGAATCCTGCCCTTAGCTAAGGTATGCAGCGTTCCTATCTATTTACTAAGGCTAAGTGCCCAGTCGGCAAGTGGTTAAGAACCTTTTTGTGTCAAAAATTTTCTAAATCTTTATTCAGCATTAATATATCTCTATGTGCAAAACTACTTACACTAGATTTATTAATTTAGCATACTATGTGTAGAAATGGATTCATTTTATAAACTGGATCACTTCTCCATGTGAGCCAGATTTTGTTAATTCCCCCATTGTGTTCAGTTAAAATATAAAGTGTGTATTTTTTAGGTAAGATGCAATAAGGTACATATAGAAAATTGTAAGTAAACATTTAAATTCAAATGTCCCCATGTTCAGCCGGCAGGTGGTGAGGGTGAGTATTGTGCTCCAGAGCTTACTGCTGAGCTGTCAATATAGACTGAATGACACTTCCTTTGTGCTCTTCTTGCAGGAACAACAGGTACTTGCTGAATATGCTATTTGTCTGAAAAATGAAAAATAATGCAGCCACCGCTTCTAAGCTGCAATATCTTACAAATCCTAAAAAACCGTGTCATAAAAAGTTTAAACTTGTATGCATAAACTTTCACAAATAAAATAAAACATAAATACCTTTTCAGTTTAAAACAGCAGAAAGAAAGAATAACAGATGTACAAATAACTGTAGAAATTGCGGTATTGGTAATAACAGATTGTGGTAAAAGTAAGCATAAGGAGAGCGGTATTACCATAACAGTAGCAATATTTTACTACCAATAGTAGTACAGAAAAAATAGTAAGATTAGTCACAGCATTAATAATTTACTTAAAGTGGCATTAAACCCAAAAACAAACATTTATTATATTTCAACTTAGCAGTTCTTAGATGTGACGGCTATTTTTTTTTAGGTTTCCTTTTGCCTGGTGATCTTACCAATAAGTCTGTTGTTTTTCAAAAGAACAAGCTGTCCTGCAGATGTAGCAGTATGGAGGGTTGAGACAAACCATTTACCACTGACGGGTGCTTACATTGATCATCTTTTATTTATTTATGTAAAACCTTTATCCCAAAAGGAAAAAAACTGCTTAAAAAGTGTTGAGCAGCCCATAGATGACTCAGTTTTTTTTTGGTTCAGCCAGCAAGTTGAATTAAAAAAACTGACCGAATTCCCCCATCCACCCACTCGATGTGGATGCAGAAATCCTCCCCACTGATCACCATTGCAGGCTAAAACTTTCAGTGCTGATTGAGCTGGGAACATCCAACAGGGCAGTTGTACAGAAGCAAATCGGTAGATTGAATTTGTACAACCTCAATGCCCGTGCATGTAACAACATTTCGCCAGTCCCTACTAAACAGGCCACATTTTTTGATCCATGTATAGCCAGCTTTAGCTGGAGTTCAGCTTCAATTTGTTGGTGCATCTAAATTTGCTAGTATTTCTAACACACTCCCCTGCTCCAGAATAACAATGCTGCTGTACAAAGATATCTCTGTTGCTTTTTTATCCAGAGTGTAGGAGGTGTGTTACTGGCCAGAACACCAGGTGAAAACGAAGGGAAAAAAAGCCTAAAAATGAGAACTAATGCAGCCACCATACCTAAAGATTAGTAAGCTGCAATATATTTTATTTTTGGTTATGGTTTTATTACTGCTTTAGGCTAGGTTCACACTGATTCTATTGGATGTGCTATAATTAACAAGCTAAACAAAAAATATTGCAGCAGTCCTATACTTGTGTTAAATACCACAATGCATATAAATTAAAACCCAGGTGGATCACGCATAAATATAATCATGTGCACATATACAACACAACCAAAAAAAGTCCCAAATTAGTGAAGGTGCTTGTGCTCAGCTTAATTG